ACATTAAATATAGCGCCGCGCGGTCTAACGAACGCGAAGGTTCTATCTATTTACACCATGCCGGTGAAGTGTTCTCCTCTTCTATTCGAACATTCGAATTATCCGGATAAAGAATCCGTAATCAAAAATATCCGAATAACAAACGAATCGAGAAATTCAGCGAAGGAACTTCAGAGCCTGGGTCAATTTTGACCCAGGCACAGTTACCAGAGGGTTAATACAATTTGCAACTAATAAATCAACGTTACAATCCCATAAAATTCCTTTCATACCCCCGTCACTTTTTATCGTCTCATTTTCCATCGTTGGACACACCTACGAAATTTCAAAGTTACCAATATGGGTACCAGTACTCCTCCGACGAATCTGCTTAGCAAAAATGCATGGTACACCGCAGAACGCGGCTCGAGTCGCACGTGAACTATTATTTCGTCGGTGGGTAGGGATGCGTCGGCGTCGCTAACGAGCCGTAAAGACGAAAACGGGACGAAAGATGGGAAGGTGGGGCAACAGGGGGAGAAGGAGGGGGAACAGGGCCGGTCCTCGGAGCATGTCGCGAAGTTTAAACAGCTTAGAGGGATGTTGCGGCGCCCCCGATGCTTGGGGCGCCAAGTCAGCCGGAAACCTCTAATAGCCCCGTCTCGTCTACATGGGAACGACAGGGACGTACACGGGGACAGACAAAGATAGAGTCCACAGGCGTAGCCACAAAGGTGGCTGTATAGGTTGCACGGTTGTATCTAGCCGGGTATACGATAACCGCACCCTCGAGGTGAGTTTGAGGGAGACGTTCGGCCAGGTATCCCTACATTAGAGCCACCGCTAAATTCATAATACGCCGGCGAGACGCGTCCGTATCTCTTTCATGTTTATAGAGTTGTCCCGTTTAGTTACGGACACGTCCCTCTCAGACCGCAAACCCGGCAAACTCGCGTCTACGCCATGGGAATTCGTCGTTTATCTACATCGATACGACGGAGAATTATCTGTCTTTTGAAAAGATGCCGAAGACAAAGTGAAATTTTAGCGAATTTTAAAAATGACTAATAGGGACAGGAGAAGTTCCGTATTATATTTATTAGAGAGGCTATATGATTTGCTGTGAGTTCAATGCTTCAGATATAGATTAATCGTGACTACCTCTTTACGCAAAATTAGATAAGACAAATAAAGTGTGTCGCGTATGTAAGTCATATACACGGTGACAAAAATAGTACTCAAAGAATTATGATACTGAAAAATATAGATAATTCCAATTTGAATACTTGTCAATCTCTATTACCGTGTTTTAGCAACGAGTAATTCAAATTGTCAATAGAATAAACTTTAATTGCAACGGAATATTCTTTCTCTTCATTCACGACGCGTTGTACCAGAGATCGAGGAACGGTTGGTATAGAATCGGCTCTCAGGTTGATCGAAATAAAACGGCGGAACGTAGTACGAACGCCCCGGGAAATCGCGTACGAGCAAATCGATGACGATTTACGACGAGCGTGATTGAACCTCTGAAAAGGCGAGCCATCTCTTTGCAAGTGAAGTGCGCAGCATCTCCTGAAGCATAAACATCGGGCCTATCCTAGGCTCGTCTACGTGATGAGATCGGAGAGTGTACAGACGGTATACAACTAACCCTCGCCCCGATCTTCATCCCTATCGACTTTACTTTGCACACCGACGGTGGACAGGTTGTGTTTATTGTGAAAACATCGAGGCCACTGTTGTGCGTTCGATCGTAGTAGAGAGGCATGTGTGTTTAAGTGCGCATGCACCCTGCAACTTGATTGTCCTGATGCCAGAAAGACGTGGGTTTTGATCGATAACATTTCCCTGTAATCACAAACCATGTTGGGCTTGCCGCTTTGTAACCGATCACACGAGCTTTCAAATCTACCTCGACAAAACGAGAGAGAAAAAGATTCTA